AGCATCCACGCGAGAGTCTGTTCTTCAATGTAGTGGTTCTCGGAAGGAACTCTCTGAGTGGAACATTCTTCTTATCAATGGACTACGAGGGGAATGGTTTTGGCAGTAATCAAGGAAGCATCCTCTCAGGTGTCTGTTCTACAAAGTAGTGGTTCTCGGAATGAAGTTGGCTGAGTGGAACTTTCTTCTCCCCAATGGACTACGAAGGGAATGGGTATGATAGTAATCAAGGAAGCATCCTCTCGAGAGTCTGTTCTCGAAAGTGGTGGTTCCCGGAAAGAAGCTGTTTGAGTGGAACATTCCTCTCACGAATGGACTACGAAGGTAATGGTTTTGGCAGTAATCAAGGAAGCATCCTCTCAGGTGTCTGTTCTACAAAGTAGTGGTTCTCGGAATGACGTTGGCTGAGTGGAACTTTCTTCTCACCAATGGACTACGAAGGGGAATGGGTATGATAGTAATCAAGGAAGCATCCTCGCGAGAGTGTTCTTCAAAGTAGTGGTTCTCGGAAGGAACTCTCTGAGTGGAACATTCTTCTTATCAATGGACTGCGAGGGGAATGGTTTTGGCAGTAATCAAGGAAGCATCCTCTCAGGTGTCTGTTCTACAAAGTAGTGGTTCTCGGAATGAAGTTGGCTGAGTGGAACATTCCTCTCACCAATGGACTACGAAGGGAATGGATATGATAGTAATCAAGGAAGCATCCTCGCGAGAGTCTGTTCTTCAAAGTAGTGGTTCTCGGAATGAACTCTCTGAGTGGAACATTCTTCTTATCAATGGACTACGAGGGGAATGGTTTTGGCAGTAATCAAGGAAGAATCCTCTCAGGTGTCTGTTCTACAAAGTAGTGGTTCTCGGAATGAAGTTGGCTGAGTGGAACTTTCTTCTCACCAATGGACTACGAAGGGAATGGTTTTGGCAGTAATCAAGGAAGCATCCTCTCAGGTGTCAGTTCTACAAAGTAGTGGTTCTCGGAAAGAAGCTGGCTGACTGGAACATTCTTCATACCAATGGACTACGAGGGGAATGAGTATGGTAGTAATCAAGGAAGCATCCTCTCGAGAGTCTGTTCTACAAAGTAGTGGTTCTCGGAATGAAGTTGGCTGTGGAACTTTCTTCTCACCAATGGACTACGAAGGGAATGGTTTTGGCAGTAATCAAGGAAGCATCCTCTCAGGTGTCAGTTCTACAAAGTAGTGGTTCTCGGAAAGAAGCTGGCTGACTGGAACATTCTTCATACCAATGGACTACGAGGGGAATGAGTATGGTAGTAATCAAGGAAGCATCCTCTCGAGAGTCTGTTCTACAAAGTAGTGGTTCTCGGAATGAAGTTGGCTGTGGAACTTTCTTCTCACCAATGGACTACGAAGGGAATGGGTATGATAGTAATCAAGGAAGCATCCTCGCGAGAGTCTGATCTTCAAAGTAGTGGTTCTCGAAAGGAACTCTCTGAGTGGAACATTCTTCTTATCAATGGACTACGAGGGGAATGGTTTTGGCAGTAATCAAGGAAGCATCCTCTCAGGTGTCTGTTCTACAAAGTAGTGGTTCTCGGAATGAAGTTGGCTGAGTGGAACTTTCTTCACACCAATGGACTACGAAGGGAATGTGTATGATAGTAATCAAGGAAGTATCCTCGCGAGAGTCTGTTCTTCAAAGTAGTGGTTCTCGGAAGGAACTCTCTGAGTGAAACATTCTTCTTATCAATGGACTACGAGGGGAATGGTTTTGGCAGTAATCAAGGAAGCATCCTCTCAGGTGTCTGTTCTACAAAGTAGAGGTTCTCGGAATGAAGTTGGCTGAGTGGAACTTTCTTCTCACCAATGGACTACGAAGGGAATGGGTATGATAGTAATCAAGGAAGCATCCTAGCGAGAGTCTGTTCTTCAAAGTAATGGTTCTCGGAAGGAACTCTCTGAGTGGAACATTCTTCTTATCAATGGACTACGAGGGGAATGGTTTTGGCAGTAATCAAGGAAGCATCCTCTCAGGTGTCTGTCCTACAAAGTAGTGGTTCTCGGAATGACGTTGGCTGAGTGGAACATTCCTCTCACCAATGGACTACGAAGGGAATGGGTATGATAGTAATCAAGGAAGCATCCTCGCGAGAGTATGTTCTTCAAAGTAGTGGTTCTCGGAAGGAACTCTCTGAGTGGAACATTCTTCTTATCAATGGACTACGAGGGGAATGGTTTTGGCAGTAATCAAGGAAACATCCTCTCAGGTGTCTGTTCTACAAAGTAGTGGTTCTTGGAATGAAGTTGGCTGAGTGGAACTTTCTTCTCACCAATGGACTACGAAGGGAATGGGTATGATAGTAATCAAGGAAGCATCCTCGCGAGAGTCTGTTCTTCAAAGTAATGGTTCTCGGAATGAACTCTCTGAGTGGAACATTCTTCTTACCAATGGACTACGAGGGAATGGTTTTGGCAGTAATCAAGGAAGCATTTTCTCAGGGTTCTGTTCTACAAAGTAGTGGTTCTCGGAATGAAGTTGGCTGAGTGGAACATTCCTCTAACCAGTGGACTACGAAGGAATGGGCATGATAGTAATCAAGGAAGCATCCACGCGAGAGTGTTCTTCAAAGTATTGGTTCTCGGAAGGAACTCTCTGAGTGGAACATTCTTCTTATCAATGGACTACGAGGGGAAATGGTTTTGGCAGTAATCAAGGAAGCATCCTCTCAGGTGTCTGTTCTACAAAGTAGTGGTTCTCGGAATGAAGTTGGCTGAGTGGAACATTCCTCTCACCAATTGACTACGAAGGAATGGGCATGATAGTAATCAAGGAAGCATCCACGCGAGAGTCTGTTCTTCAATGTAGTGGTTCTCGGAAGGAACTCTCTGAGTGGAACATTCTTCTTATCAATGGACTACGAGGGGAATGGTTTTGGCAGTAATCAAGAAGCATCCTCTCAGGTGTCTGTTCTACAAAGTAGTGGTTCTCGGAATGAAGTTGGCTGAGTGGAACATTCCTCTCACCAATTGACTACGAAGGGAATGGGCATGATAGTAATCAAGGAAGCATCCACGCGAGAGTCTGTTCTTCAATGTAGTGGTTCTCGGAAGGAACTCTCTGGTGGAACATTCTTCTTATCAATGGACTACGAGGGGAATGGTTTTGGCAGTAATCAAGGAAGCATCCTCTCAGGTGTCTGTTCTACAAAGTAGTGGTTCTCGGAATGACGTTGGCTGAGTGGAACTTTCTTCTCACCAATGGACTACGAAGGGAATGGGTATGATAGTAATCAAGGAAGCATCCTCTCGAGAGTCTGTTCCAGAAAGTAGTGGTTCTCGGAAGGAACTCTCTGAGTGGAACATTCTTCTCATCAATGGACTACGAGGGGAATGGTTTTGGCAGTAATCAAGGAAGCATCCTCTCAGGCGTCTGTTCTACAAAGTAGTGGTTCTCGGAATGAAGTTGGCTGAGTGGAACTTTCTTCTCACCAATGGACTACGAAGGGAATGGGTATGATAGTAATCAAGGAAGCATCCTCTCGAGAGTCTGTTCCAGAAAGTAGTGGTTCAGGAAAAGAAGCTGTCTGAATGGAACATTTGTCTTAACAATGGACTACGAAGGGAATGGTTTTGGCAGTAATCAAGGAAGCATCCTCTCGAGAGTCTGTTCTTCAAAGTAGTGGTTCTCGAAAAGAAGCTGTCTAATTGGAACATTCTTCTTACCAATATACTACGAAGGAAATGTATATGATAGTAAAAAATGAACCATCCTCTCGAGAGTCTGTTCTACAAAGTAGTGGTTCTCGGAAAGAAGCTGTCTAATGGGAACTTTCTTCTTACCAATGTACTACGAGTTGAATGGGTATGATAGTAATCAAGGAAGCATCCTCTCGAGAGTCTGTTCCACAAAGTTGTGGTTCTCGGAAAGAAGCTGTCTGAGTGGAACTTTCTTGCCAATCAAACAAAATGGGAATGAAAATGATTCGTCCCATGTATCTGGCCTGTACGGTTTTAGCTGTAAAGATCTGAAGTGGTTGAATTAATGAATGGCCCCCGATTGAACCTTTGCCATAGAAATAGCGATTAAGTAAGGATAGATTTAAGTTGTTTCGTCTATGTGAAAGAATTTGCGTGGTTAAGAATTATTCAACGCACACAAACCTTTTACCCTATAGCTAGTTCCTTTCTAACATCTCCCATTCACTGTTCGATTGTCTCTCCATCCGGCCTATAAGCATGAAACAAATATTCTCAAAAACATTCCTCTTTTCGTATTTCTTTTAATTCTAAGGCCATCAATATAAAATGCAAATATTTTTAGTGACTGTCACCGTTTATTTTCAAATTACTTTTATTACGAATCTACATCTGTTAAACAATTTTAGTTTTATTGTCTTCCGGGTGGAAACTGAAAATACTTTTGTCTTGACGCGACTCTCTGCTATGAATTTTTATTTATTTCAGGAATACATCATTGGCCATTATAACTGAATAAATAACGTTATGCGAACAATTGAAAACTAAATACGCAGTGATGAACTTTTACCCCTAGTGTTTCTATTGTATGAATTTGTCGAAAAAAAATCAACTTTCGACGCAGTAAAAGGAGGCGGGGTAACCCCAGAAGAGAAGTAGCAACATCCTGGTAAGGGTTGCAAAAGGAGTCCTCCTCTTGCGACCCGCTCCAACTAGGTCTAGTAACTGAGAAAGAAAAAACTAATAATCCTTCAGTACAATTAATTAATTAACCAGTCACGCGTCGGCTGGTAGAGAAGATAGGTCTCGTGAAAATACGGAGGACCATTTTTATAAAGAGGCTAACCGCTTCCCACAATCCTCCTCCTACCAAGACCATAAATATCAGTTGGTCACTTGCTTCCAATTTAGCTGGACACAATTCCCCCGAGGCTGAAGTAACCCTTCCGTAAGTACGCCCCCTCTCTCTTCTTTTTTCCTTTTCTTCACAAATTTAAGCGTGCTACTCGATTGGCAACTAGGTCTCACCTTTTGACTTTTGAACTAGCTAGATGCAACCGCTAAGGCTTACGGCCATAACAGGTTGAAACACCAATTCCCGTACGATCACTGAAGTCAAGCAACGTCGATCCTGGTCAGTATCTAGTCGGGTGACTGCTTCGGAATATCAGGTGTTGTAAGCTTCGATGTATTGGTTGTGTAATGGATAATGGCTCAGAATTGTTAATCGGAGAGCCGAGTTCCAATTCCAGTTGAAGTCGTTATTTTCACTTATGTGAAAATAACCTAGTGAAAGGTAAGAATGCACCTCTTTTCCCCCTATCTATGGGTTAATTAGCAAGACTTGTATCGCTAAATCATTATTATCTTAAAAAAAATTCTTGCAATCTAAAAATATTTTCTGGCTTTAAATAACCTGCAAAGGGTTGATAAGCCATAGAAAAAGAATCAAACAAATAACACTTCTATTCTAAAAAGTGTCTTTTCTCACACTTCTCACCTGTGGAACTCCCTTCCGATTTCCCTGCTAACTACAATCTTCAATAATATAAATGTAACGCCAATCGCCATCTTCCGTATTCTTGAACCCTGTTCTTTTATTCTCCCTTTCCTCACTTCTTCCCACTAAAGTCTTCTAATTCTCTTTCACTTCTTGTAACCTCCCTGCGTCGTAGTGGAATTATCGCCTTGCTTGGGGTGAAAAGATTATGATGATATATTTTCCCACGCGTCTGTATCTCTGAGATGAGATATTATGATTACTTACATTATTTACATTATTCGGACTGTTATCCTCATCTTCATTGCCATATTCACAACGTTTCGGCCGTTTTACGCTCCGGCCTTCATGTGATTGGAATTTCGAACAGAACCCTTTATTTCGTCAACGGAGGTAGATTGTTCTAGTTCACCAAGGACACAAGGCCCAGCGGATAATGACGTTGTTTAGATCCAGTGAAAAAATCCAAAGAGCTGTGAGTTCAATATCATGCCATAGCAAACGCTCGGTCCATGATAACCTTAGCGTCCTTCTGTAGAACCATATCTCCGTCGTCTCGTGTTTCTTCTTCATCTTTGAAGATGGAGAGCCATGATCACCTACGTCCTGAAAGGACATAGCACATAAAAGAAAAGAAATTACAAGTGAAATAAAAAATGAGGGCAATTCTTAGATAGTTTTAATAATAAAATACAAAGAAACAAATGCCTTGAAACATTGTCCAACATTCACTAAGCTAGGACAGATGTTACGTAACAACTCAGTAATTTTTCTTTGTTACCAAAAAAATCCTCCTGTCTCGCAATACTCTGTCCAGCTTTTGGAATGCGTCCTTGACCAACCCAATACGTCTACGGATCCCTATACGAAAACCTCCCATCAAAAAATTAAGTATAAGCTTCCCCTTTGTTTGCAATCTCGCTAAGACTTCATCGTTGCTCAAACGCTCAGTCCATGATAACCTTAGTATCCTTCACTAGTTACTAAAATAATGAATAACAGATGCAATCAAAACTATCCTTTAAAGTGTATAGAAGTTAACAGATGACGATGCATAATGCGCAGAATTAATTTTATCAAAATGAAGCTGAGGAATATCTCAGACTTTATTAAAAAAAAAATTCTGGTAAAACTCCATAAATGAAACAAAATTTTATGGTATGAGTTCTAGTATTTCAGAAAAAAATACACCAGCAGAAAAAATATTTACATTATTCAGACTATTATTCTAATCTTCATTGTCATATTTACAACGTTTCGGCCGTTGTACTCTCCGGCTTTCTTCAGGTGACTGGAATTTCGAACCGAACCGTTTCTTTAGCTGTGAATTCTTTATCTCCGCTTTATTGAAATTGACGCCACTGAACCGTTTAATTAATCCACTCTCCTTATAATTTATAAAACATTCAATGGTATTTAGGATTCATTGATTACTCCTGACATTATATAAATCGCTTTTTGCTCAATATCTTTTCATGTTAAAAATTGTTTAATCTAATAGTAAGATGGAAATATCTTTCAGAAGAAAAAAGATTGGCAACAGAAAAAGCAAGGACGGGGAGGACAAAGCCTATTTCAAGACCAAATTGAAGCAAGACGACTACATAACAGACAAAGGTAACTGTGTGTCTCACATAAAAGTCTTGAACAAATAAGGCTGCGATAATGTGTAAAGGAATTGATTAATTAAACAGTTTATTTTGCCCAGGAACTCATTTTGTTTAAATGCAGATATTTTTTTTTCTTGTATAGATTGTTTTTGTGATGTCAAGGAACACTCGTTGCCACTTTTGTAATATCAACGAATACTCGTTGTCCCTTTCGTGAAGCTCGTTGTAGTAGAGACTTTGTAACCGCAGATACAACTATAGTAACGCCGTCGAACAATACTAGTGTCAGACGCCTTTGAATAACACTCGCACTAATAATACTTACTCGATAATACTCACTCGAAAAAGTTACCAAAGAATAGTAATCCGTGTAGTGATCAGTATAGAGAAATAGTATAATGAATAGTATAGAGAATAGCGATCTGTAAATAGTAATAGAGGATAGAATAGAAATGATGATCCGTATAGTAATAGAGGATAGAATAGAAAGAGTGAACAATTAGATCCAACGCTAATTCCTATATATTCTTTTCCTTTACGATCACGTGGCCTACTTATTAGAAATTGAATCACCTGTGTTTGCTCACTGGTGATCTGCGTTCAAACTCCAGTGTCGGCAGAGACAATTTATTCCTATGCAACAATTGTTAAAACGACGAAAGAAGTAATCACTCACAAATTCACTAACTTAAGTAGATTTACATTTCCTCCTGCTACAGATGGGACAGGAAATATATAAATAAATAGACAGGATATATATAAATCAATATACATAGATAATTATTATGTGGTTTCATGATCATAGACGTATGAAGGGGCTTGACTTACCACTGGGTAAATGAATTATACATTTTCAGGACATGCGACCCACGTTGTGAATCATTGCTATAGGTTCTGATGAAGGATTCATTCGCTACAAGCCATTTTTAATTATTCATATGAGAAAATGCTTGTATATAGATGATATTTTAGATATTTTTGAACGGGTTAGATGCTGTGAATAACATCCATAGGTGAGTTCACATTTGATGAAGCTAGGAAGCAATTTTTGGCTCGGGTTTTCACAGTATTTTTTTTACTCATTTCACACTAAGTAAGGCGATTAAGCCACTAAGATGAACAGGATTACGGAGAATGAAAGAAACAAAGAGTATTGCTATAAAATAACAGGAATCACAATATGATGATTGATATTACATTTAAATTTCTGAAGATCGTAGCTGACAGAAAAGCATGAAGTCGGAAGCAAGTTCAACATGCGAGAGGTACGGTAGAATAAATTATTAGCGTAGAACTTACGGTTTCTTTTAGAATTTCAATAGGGGAATTATGAGACCTACCTGTCAATACAGTACTGCGCTTAGTCGAGGTACTAGAGAGGAAAGCTCACCAGAACAATTAATGTGAAAATATTTATAGGGAAGCTAGATTATGGCGGCGAGAATGTAACTGAAGCTGAGATGCCAGGTCAGGATCGATATTGTTGCAAAATAGCGATATTTATTTCTGCTTATTTACAGAAAATGTGGCACAAGACGAAAATGGGGAATGGGGAAAAGATGGTCTTGTTCTGTCTTAAATTTAAATTTAGCTAGCCACAAACACTGACCCAAACATACACAATATTCCGAATACCAAAACAACACATTCTTACTTACCTTTCTTACTACATCCGCCATAATACCTCATTGTCTCTATGAAAATCCTAACTAGACCATGTATGAACAATTTATTGTCTGAGCGGGGGGGGGAGAATAAAACAACAATTTAAAAACTAACCCCAATGTTTATTTACAATATGAATACTGTTGCAAAAGAGCTCATTAGAACAACTTCCCTGGAAATACTTACAGAAAAGGCACAAGGAAACTACGTTACGGCGGTGGCCGAGATGCCAGGTCAGAGTTGATAATATTGCAGATTCTTCTTGGGATTTTGTCAAGAATCTCAAGATAAACAGCAGAGGCATCAGATATTAGGCGGCAACAATATTCGATGCACAGACGAATGGTATACGTATAAATGTGTCAGATAGATACTGTCGAGGAACATTGTTAAGCACGACACAGTGAACCAACTTTCCTAGCAACTGATTCAATATAATCGTTCCAATTCATGTCAGTGCAAAACTTTAGAACGAGTTTTTAGCAACTATTCGCCTATCGCCCGGTTCACACTCCTCTCCGGTTTTTAAACAAGAGTGGAGGATTGTCCCTTGTTTCCGATTTGGTACTGGGTTTCAGGTTCCTTCTGGGGGTCTGCTTCGGCCCTGTATTACTGGCGTCTCTGCCTGAGCTCTGAAGCGTTATTCACTATTTATTTCATTTTATTTTTTCTCTCCTCCGCCAGTAGATAAGTTCACCTATCGTCCGGCTCACGCTCCTCCTTGGTCTTTTGAGAAGGAGTAGAGATTTGTCCCTTGTTTCCTGTTTGGGATTGGGTTTCAGGTTCCTTCTAAAATATACTTCAGCTCTATACTACTAACGATTGTTCTTCCCTATGTCATTATAACTCCACGTATTAACCCTTTAACTTGAGTGGTTGTTGGACCTTGCATTGGCTGAATATTTGTAAAAAAAAAAAAAAGAAAAAAAAAAGGATACGGTGTTGGACAAAAGTACTCTTAGTGCAATCAACCCTGTGTCCAATTTCTTTGTCTCCTGAATCAGTTATTATACTCATCATTCACGTTGAAAGACATATTAGATTTTATTCTGAGATAAAAAGAGGCTTTATGGTACTTAGGGGATTTTTCTTTTCATAACTTGGTAAGACAGATTAACATCTTTTCATTGTCATGACATTTTAGCTTGAGAACAGATTATTACAATTTGTCGTATTGATCTGCCACAATAATGATCGCCATTTTATCTGTCCCATTATCATATACAGCAACAGAGGAATTAATATTAGAACTATGTTTGTGCTAGCAAATAAATCGTCTTTTCTAGTTACCGTGAGTGAGATAATCTATTTTTAGACTGGTGAAATTTGGATTTACATCTGTCTGTTACCGACATTTTTGTTGTAGTTTCTGTTCTTCCGAAAATTTCTTCATTTGTCATTTGATC